CGTGATGCACCTTCATTGAGGTGTCACATGATCGCAGCTTCCACCAATTTGTCAAACACCGAGTCACCACGATTGCCGTGCTGAAGTACAAACTCGGGCTCATCGTCGCACCCGTTCTACAACCGGTTCGGTTGTGTGGGGATCATAAGGAATGCAGCACTTTTTGCCGTTATGATAATTCTGTTTTCTGACCATTGTTTTGTGAAAATGGAAGGTAATTTGATGAAATTCCGTATTCCGTCTGATCAATTACTTGCGGTTTGGACTGTCAAAAATGGTACGGATCGTGCACACGGAAGCGAAGATAATTTATAAACCAAGGGGAACAACGATGTTGTCATAGGGTGTATAACATATTGTGGCTAGGTAATAAAGGTTTGAAAGATGAAGATGTTTGATTGCCATGATTCGTTTTGCATTAGATGACCCCAGAACTCTTGTGATCGACTGACTATCGACCATGGGTTGTGTAATTGACTTAATCAATCAATTCGAAATGTGTTTGTTTTACGTCAGCGACGAAGGAGATCGAGCTGTGTTAACATCACATCACCTGTGTCAGCGCTAATTATAATTTATAATGACATCATCACCACAGGCTTCTTAAAGGAATGCCCGAAACGATATATAAGTAAGGAATAACCTGTAGCAAATAAGCACGATTTCATTAATTCGTATTCATGCCATTACACCACGATATGTATCACCACCTTGAAATAAAATTGTCTAGAAAAAATAAAATAAGATAAAATCGTATTACAGATTGCTGTATATTTTGCTATTCAAGTTGTCCGAATATCGCTTCAAGATGTCGGACTATTGTTTGATAACGTTCGGGTGTCATTTCCAGTTGTCTCGTTGACCTCATCGGAGCTGCCAGCCCCATGTACCTCTCAAGCCTCCCAGCGATTTTTTGATGACCACCAAGCAGAATAGACTTCTCCACCTCAATCTGAAGCGCGAGAACAACGATTGTGAGACGTGCCTCCGTCAAACATACCTCAATTCCCATGACATAGCTTGATTACTTAACTTACTAATACATGTACACGGCTGTGAGTTTGTCCCCTGAAAAGTTATCTTGGGTCAGGCTCCACTGATACCGGGAGGTAATGCGTGATCAACGCATGAACCATTGCTTTCGCCCATGATGCATGATGCCGCAATATAAATCATAAGCTACACCTCAATCGGCTGCAGTATGACATCAATCGATCATACTCGGTCGATATACGTACGCGTCAGTGTAGACCAGATTCGCATCCAGTTTGTACGACGCTTGCAGATTTAGTTTCATATCTGAGTTATGGCCACAAAAGCATCAACAAAAATTCCACCCTTCAAGTACTGAACAGTCAAAGTGACCAGTTTGACCATATATCCAGAACAGAATGAGCGATCTGTAGTAAATCAACTACGATTGAAGTAATGTAATGAGGACTGTCGATAAATGTTGATTTTTGATAGTTACTGAATTTGAAATGAACGTCTGAGTCCGAAATTAGGAATGTTTTTCAAAAATACACTTTTCGGAGTATAGACCCTGAATTCGATAATCTTAATCGTTTAAACCGTATATATAATTATGTTAAACTACTTCCATTGTACAAGGTAAGGCCGGTGAATCAAGGCTAAGGTATGACATGCAAATACATATATGTATGCAAACTTGCTTCGAATGATCATAATGTCAAATAAAGCTAGTCGAAGCTATTTGGAAGATGTCCACAAATTATAGGGACACTTCGATTTATCGATTTAGTTTGACGGCGTTAAACCACCGAAGTTGTTCTTGAGCTAGACATTACGGAAGTCAGCACTAATGAGAACTTATGCAAATGTTCGATAAAGTAGTGAGTATTAGGAATTCAGAACATCCTTTCTGTATAGTGTAAATCAGCGCCAAGCAAACAGCGATGCTAACATTCTCTTGCTTTACATCCGCGATAGTCTTTAGTTAATCAAAACAACATTAGGCACGACATTTCGACAGACGTACTCTATACTCGAATTTCCTCCATTCGTTTGAGATCTCGGGTACAAGCGGACCATTACAAAATATTTATGCTGTAAAACATGCAAATTGAATTGCAAAAGTTATAGAATTGATTGCATCATGACACCGGAAATCGGATTCACCATGAACACATCGTCGTCTCTTTACTGATCTGCTCATCGGGACTACTCGTGATATAGTGTGTGTGAGTGTGGTGTTCACGCATCCGTTGGGGCAATCGCCTGACCGTGTGTAGGTTGTCACTGGAACAAGTAAATGAGTATACACAGAATGATCCCGTATGTTCAGAAACTTTGTCTTTTTGATAGCAAACACACAGTTAGCTTAGAACTTGACAAAAGACGAATAATTGTTGCATAGAACATCTTATCAATGGTGTCCTTTGTATGATCTTAGCGGATGTGTCCCTTTTGAATGGCAAAGAAGTGTACACAAACTTTCCTTAATTTCGGTGTTTTGTAAATTGTTCTCTGTGCATTGACTCATTTTGTTGACCAGATGTTCTATATATCCGTTAGGAGCAAAGATTGAACTTACAACACGGAATTCTTCTTCTGGCAAATTTTCTTACCGCTTCCGCTAGGCAACGAACCGGGTTCCTTTGTGCCTTAAGCGGTACAATGCTACAAAAGCGGATGTATTGGTCTTTCCAAGTTGCCGTTCTATGCGCCGAACCGTCTGATCGATCAGTTTGTCCATTTCCAAAATTAAACTTTATGTTTCGATGGTCAGTGCAGAATCTGTGTTTGATGCTGTTTGAAATGTGTTGTGTGGCACTGATGGGACAATATAATATGGTAATTGAAATTCACCGTTGTTCTTTATAGATTATTTGGTAGTTTGAAACCAGCAGTGAAAACAGCTGGTGTTCAGACTCGAACCTTCGGAAATATGGAGATTTTGATATTGCCACCGATTTGTCCTAACTCTAAAAATGACCGGATAAAATATTTTTTCTCCCTCGACAACTATAGTCTTGCTCAGCCATCTCACAGAACATTAAGTAGCCTGTTTCATTATAGGTTTTTGAGAACGAGAACGTCTATTCCATTTTTCGCAGACTATTTGAACGACTTGGTTTACATGTAACCAACAACTCTTGATGAAGCCACCTACCTTTTGCAATTCAAATTGTCCCAGTATCATATCAAGATGTCCGTGTATCGTTTCAAAATGTCCTCGCATCATTTCAAGCTTTGACCTCATCGGTGCTGACAAGTCTCCCAGCGCCGTCTGAATGACCACCATGCAGCACCGATTTCCCTACCTCCCGTTGAAGTGCGGGGGACGATTGTGAGACGAACTTCGGTCACACGCCTCAATTCCCATGACATACACATTGGTTGTTTATCTTGCAAGTACGCGTACGCCTCTGCGTGTGTGTTAACTGATAACAGTGAGCCATGCGCGATAAATGCTTGGCCCATTGCTTACCTCCATTGCATGATGCTGCAATACAGCGCGATTGCTCCATCGTTTCACATCGACTCGTCCTTCTCACCCAGGACCTTAAATAAGTAAATTCCCTCTGACCCTCTCTGTGATCTGATTGGATCATATTCCGCGACCTGTGGCACTTGGATTCTCTCACCCCAGCTCGAGGCTGTCTGAATAAAGGCTTGTACGTTTTGTAATGCTCTTGTTGTAACGTCCAGTCCATCCATGTGCTGATAGCACTCGTGCTGCACAGGAAAGTTCAATGGGACTGTCTAAAACTCACAACTGTAAAAAAGGTGTTGTTCCTCACCTGAGTTACCTGGGTAAGCACCACGTCTCTTGTTGCGGCTGAACCATGCGACCAATCGATAAATGAGCCTGATCGGTCGTGTGATTTTCGGACCAGCATAGGAGGAGGATAAGTTCTGAAGGATTGGTAGAGAATCTGTCATTAGCTATGATTAACAGTTTACTATTTGTCAGTGCTTGTTCCACCTACCCGCGCTATTGTGCGCGCTAATGGATATGGGTCGTACGATCTATTCACTGGAATAAGAAGGCACCTATTTTCCTCATGTTTACTGATTGTCTGCGTAAATATCATATTTCAAGGAGTTCTTTTATGATTGTGAATCCATTCGGTACTAATATCATGTTGTCAACATGAAAAGTAGGACACAGAAACGGCTACTGCTCCTAGAGTATCCCAACACTCTCAGTGGAGTAATTAGATATATATGTGTATGCATGAGGCGGAAGAAAACCATACGTAATTATGCTGGGTTCAAACCACCCGTTAAAAAACGAAAATCCCCAAGCTGTGCTTGTTTTAGCCTCCCGAAATTGAGGATTGTCTGTGCTTATCGACACAGTCGCGGTTGATCCTTCGCATCGTCGGAAACAAAAGCTAAAATGAAGGATAGAATGAATATGACAGCTATAAACTATCACGTGACCGCTTATATGCCTGACTTGCACATTTGGTTTACACGTGTTCCGATAGCATTAGTCTGGTGCCCAACAATGGTCCGATCGCTCGTCCACTAACAAACAAGAAACCGTTTGAACCACACTACCACATTCGAAATTTCGATTGTACCAATAGAAAAGTCAAACTGATTTGTCACAGCAAATGATATGTTTACCTAATCTGTTTCGTCATGGAAGTAGCCAACAGGATAGAATTGTGAACAAGTTCTGCACGTCAAGACTGTGTGTGTGTGTCTGTGAGGGGGTTGGGTGATATGTACAGAAATGGGTAAACGCGTTAATCTGTGTCGTCTGAATCAGACAAGTGTGCAAACGACAGAACAATCAAACCGAAACAAAAACCCAATAGTCCGTAGGGGCCGCGGAAAGTTTCAAGTTTTTCTTGGAGAGGGAGGGCGAGGATGTCACAGTGTGCCGTGTAGACGGTAAATTATGAACAATGTTGTTAGTTCATGTGCGTCAAGAAAACAGTTTGAGATTATACAATCTCAGAGAAAACAAATCACACACGACCATATGAGTAAATGTGAAATTCTTTGCAACTTTGAATGCTGTTTTATTTTACAGGCCTGCCGTCCATGTAGATTGTAGGAGGACCACTTTTCTTCACCCAATGAAATACATCTTCTGTGGAAGAAAATTTCGCTCGTTCTGAACGCATCGGACTCAGGAGAAAGGAGACTGTTTCCAGATTATCTTTGGAGATTGCGGCTATTTGGTCTTCGACGGCCAGATATAGCCTTGTAGGTGAATTAGAAGATATGTACTGTTGCAGTTCGTGGATGAGACGTACATACAATTTACCCGATCTCCACGGTTCCTGCAACAAAAGCGGACGGATAGTGTCGGGAATGAGGCGTTCCGTGGTACCCAACGAAACGGTTAGGCAAAATCGATCACTCTCGATAGTTTCAAAAGTGGGCACATGAACTGGATTTGTCAAGCGATGTTTTTGAGTCAGATGTTGGCGTTTGGCCTCCAGTGTTCGGTTCAGCTTGGCAACGACAACTTCCACAATGTCGCGAGCGGTGGCACGCACGCTGATCAGCACTTTGACTGAGGCACCCGAACCAAGCCCCGTCGCGTAGCCCGCATAGACACGAACAACACTGACCTGGCGATCGTGGTTCACCACAGGCGGAACTTCCTTGGTGACCTCGTTTATTGCCCTATCACGAGGGATGTGGCAAACACTGAGCAGATTCCGAACCTCGTGTGTGTTCGTTTTCCTTTCAACTATTTGGATCGCCTCGTTCAAGGTGCTTGGACTGCCTAGATAGAGCACATCTTTCCAATCCGATCTGCCCAGGCTAATTTCACCCAGATCGCCGAGAACGCGTAATCCATACCGCCCATTATCCATACGACGAATGACAGAATCGACAAACATTTTCAGCGTACGCGAGAGCAGAGTCAACGCGTGCGGACGTTTTCGATCTCTGGCTGCGGAAATCACCTCACTCAGCCAGCGTTTCTCTTGAAACGCACTGTCTACCTGATGGTAAATTGATTGTAATGTGTTTGTCCGTTCCACACACTGGCCAAGTTCAGAATCTGCAATACACTGACGTTGAACCAAGGTAGACATTGGTATTAAAACTTCCAACATAGACATCAAACTGGACGCTGTGTTGTAGAAAATCGGATCGTAGATCATACCCAAATTGCGTTCGAAATAAGCCATAAATATCCAAGAGCAGTTACTTGGTGGTGGAGTTGTGGAATGTCCTGGAGGTAAACAGACTTGATCTGTTTTGGGAAAGATTAAAATGAGTGCGTGCTGAGGTGAGATCTGAATCACCTCAGGTAAATAGAAACGAAAGTCCAGTAGTTCATCATCCGTGTAATTTAGACGTTTGGCCAGTCGAATCCACGCGTTGTGCAGTTTCCGACAGAATCGCAATGCGTACGGTTCATTGACAACCATATGTGTCGTTGATCCGGGATTCGACACTGCATCTGGATCTGTGGCCACGAGCAGATTGTACAGTGTGTTCCACTCGGAACGACAAACGTGCGTTCGTCGACGAACCCGTTCCACCGGGAGCATATGGATCACGTTTGAGGTTTTGGAGGACAAAATTTTAGCCTGGTGATCGAAATGTGCATGCATTTGAATCAGACTCACGTACAAACCCGGATCCAATTTGTTCTGACGTCGTTCCGAATAATAGAGTAGTACGTCCAAATTGCTTAGCAAATGTAGCTCCGGGGTTAGATAGATTAGATCCGGTCTCATGGGGACATTTCGACTGCTACCACCGGACTCGGATTCGGTGACGGAAATTTTCGGCGACGGTGTCACTTCTGTGCCGACCAGTGTGAAATCAGCGGGATTCAATTTGTTCTGACGTAGAAATTTGTGAAGAGGATACCAGCGGAATCCGCCCGAACAAGTCACATCGTTCGGATTTTGAACGTGTTTTACCAGGACCAGAATGAGACTGTTTTGTGTTGATTTGCTGGAAGTCTCGGGTTGACTGACGGGAGTAGACGGTGCCGGAGTGTTTGCAACCCCCTCGGTCATATCATCCGCGGTGCGGACGCCCGTTGTAGATAAACTGAACTCGGATAGTTCAGTTACTAAGCTGGATATGTTTGACTCAATCAAACGACCGCTGAACCAATCCGGATAGAGAACACCAACGTCATAAGTCCCTAATGCGATCTGCATTCGTTGAAGTGCTGTGAGAAGTAGAAAGCGAAATTGTAGGTTTGCCGGGGTCGTTGAACGCAGAAGATTTTCGCTAATCAATTGCAGATCCGTTCCAAACTTGGGCTGTGCTAAAAGTCGAGAGAACCAGTTCATATCAGCACTTGTTTGAGCACCCAGGTTAGGCTCTTCTTTCGTGACACAGACCATCGGTATGAAGTCATCGACCAGAATCAGTTGGGACTTATCCAGGGTCTCACGATCTGATATCGACACTGTACTGCTAGGTGTACTATGACACACTAGGGCCAGATAGACTCCCGTTTTAGTCTGTCTGACAAATTTCATACCTTTAGTGGTAAAAGGAAACCGAAATGACCGTTTTCGCTGAATCATGGGCGAACGTGTGCGCTTTCCACCCTCTTCTGATCCGGCTATCGCTTCACATGGATTACTTGTCGACGGTTGTCGATAGGTCCAGATAAGCAATTGTTGGTCGAGCAATTTCTTTAATGCCTGGAATTTTTCGCTGAAAATTTCCGCTCCGTAGCGCAAGGGAATCGTTTTCTCGGTTGTTTCTGAATTCTCTTTCGACCTCTGTAACGCATCGATCCATGAAGACGGGGCCACAAAACGGGGTTGTGCGTAACACGGTTCAGACCAGCCACGAACTGTGAACGCGTAGACGCGAACGTACACATTCTGTCCCGATTGGAAGCCGTCCAATTCATAAAATCCGGTGCGCACAAACAATCGTGCAGATGTATCCGGCTTTTTTGAATCCGGGACAATTGAAGTGAGACGAATTGGTGGGGCTACGGTGCAAGAAAACACATCGTTTTGAAAATCCGCCGACAGAGACCATTCGATACGATATCGGATGACTAGTAGTCCGTAGCTATCGATCTCAAATCCAGCCACTTTCCTGCCCTCAAAAGGACTACGCCCGGTTTCCGGTGAGCTTGATTCACATGATGTTGTATCACGTAGTTCACTGGACTCCACGACAGTTGTCGATTTAGTGACATTCACTCGCAAACGAGATTGTCGTGGAGGAGATACTCGAACCAGAATGGACCGAGCACTGTAAACCATCAGGACCACTTTACTCGGTGCCGGTGGAGTAGGCGGATATCGATCTAGTGCATTACGTAATTCAACAAGTTTGTCCCGATGTTTGACGGCACGTTGCAAATCCATCTCCTTTTGAGCCACTTCGGTAAACGCTTCACTCATTGCAGACTGATCCCAATCGGTCACGTTAGGATCTCGTTGGATGAGCGAGTAGGCGTTTGCGCGTGACACCGCCGTGTCCAGACAAACTTGGGCTGTACTAATTTTAGCTTCCACATCTCCTATACGACGGGTTAGAAAAAATTTCATCGGATCTGTGACCCGTACATTCGCAGGTCCATGTTCCAAAGCCACACTCAGCATAGCACCTGGCCTAAACCCGAGCATGATTAGGAGGGCGATTGTTTGCGGTGAGGCTAACAAAACAGCATAATCGAGGGGATTCAAACCAATCTCGGATCGGACCGACTGATCAGACGAACTGAGTTCTTCTTTCAAGAGTGCGAGCTTTTGATGATGTTCCACAATTTGTTCCACATTATTTTGTTCAATCCACACGAACAGATCATTCAATATCTGCATATTTTCCTGTTCTTGTGCACGTCTGGTTTTCTCCATGAGAACATCTTTCGATGGAAGCAACAAATCTCCAGCTGTTTGACTTGTGGGCACATTGAGTTCAGCCTCCACACTTGGAAACGGTCTATCCGCGGGCCAATTAATGCTGGAATTGTTGCGTCTTAAACGCCGAACCACCGCATAGCGATTTCGTCTGGATTGAACTGTGGCAATGTGAGAAGCCAGTTGCTGCGAATGAGTGCCCAAGGCTGGGTCGGTAAGTGCCGTAGCAGTTTGAATATGCTTTTGAAGACCAAGTATCACCGACGTGTCAGTCCAACGGGACTCCCCGTTTTGAGCGGCTCCCATGATTGATGAAACACATATTTTACAGCATTGTTCAGATGTGGCTCGTTTAGCCAATTCCGTGAGCACATGTAGATTAGGTTTACTTGGTTCGCTTGAACACGGACNAACACGGACTCCTTTCTTTGTGAAATGGAGTGGTAACCGAGCGAGAACGTGGACCTCTATCCATCCAAGTCTTGCCACGTCTACGTCCGCGACGCTTTCTATCGACAGATTGCTCCCGTGGATGGACATCTAACTCCACGGGACCGGTATTCGGTGTGGTTGTCGTTGTTGTTGCTGCTGCTGTTGCAACTGCGGCTGAACTGATCACCTCACGTTGAATACTTGTTGCCCGTACGCGTTCTTCATTACCCTGGATAGGATCCCTGGAGCGTCTCAAAACTTGCGCACTGCTGTTCGAACGCTGAAGTTTGCTTTTCCCACCAGCTTTTGCTCGAATTTGTGCCACACGATTACGGGCTGATGTCACGTAGTTTGCAAATTCTTTGCTCTCAGTTGGCTTTTTTAATTCGCCTGTTGAATTTTTCAAATTAGACGGTGGATTGATCTCCGCTGGATCCGGTATGGATGCAGCTGTTGGACTGTCCACAACTTGGACAAATTCCTGTTGTTCATCTCTTAGAAAACTTATTTTCTGCGCGGTTTGTTGTAAATTCTCCGGGAATTTGACATCTGATCGACTGGAAACATTGACATGTCTCATATCCTCATCTTTGTGTAGATTGGGAGAACCAGATGATCCGAACGAAAGGGGCGATGGAGATAAGGAATAAGATCCGCCCAGATGGTCGGTCGTCAATGCGTCCAGTGGAATGTGACTTTGCAGAGGTAGTGACAATGTTTCCAATTTGGACGGTGAACCTCGGACGCGTTCACCACGATGATGATGATGATGATGATGATGATGACAAGTTCCACCACTGGGTCGGGTCAAATCACATTCAGANAACCGTTTAGCCATACCGACTGAGATTGTGGAGACAGCAGAGGATGTGTTTGGGGTGCTAGTGCTGGTACTACTGGTCGTGGACGGGACGAAATAATTTGGCTCTTTCAAAGTATTTGACTGGGATACGTGTGGTGCAGCGGAACTAGTGGTACTAGCCGTAGTAGTTGTAGCAGAAGTAGTAGTCAAATTGGAGGTGTAAGCCACTGGTTTAAACCTGTCCGAAAATTCTTCTTGTGTGGGAACTGCAAGTTGCGATTGGGGTTGTTGTTCCGACTGTGACGGTTTGCCTTTGCCTTGTTCACTTGTCACATCTTTCGAAGTGGAACTGTTCGCGTTTGGCGGATTATTTTCTGAACAATTGATACTTTTAAACGCGGGCATCGTATCCGATCGATGAAATCGACGACGTTTGTCAGAGAGAAAATTCAACGCGTTCGATAACATCGCCACTGTTCTCGATACGGATTGAACGGGGGGAATGTCAACTGGACCTGCTGAGACGTCTCAAAGTGTCCAATATTCTGGTTGTTTTTGTTGTTGTTGCAGTTTAGTTCGCGAAGTTGGCCGCAACAATGACTGAAATGGTGAAGTGGAAAAAGAAAACGGTTCTTGTTAGAGTTGTGTTGCATAGATTAACTCAATACTATTTGGTGAACATTGCAGATGGATATTATCATAACTAACATTTATGAACAAAAAACTGTGGTAGCAAAATAAACAAGTCGGAAGTAAAATCATTTAGTGCAGAAAGAGTCCAGCTTCTCTGGTCATTATCCTCGCTAAGACTGATATTTAGAGCACAACACGACAACTAAAGCCAATCGCAGTGTTGCCAAGATCCACCCGAAATGTCTCTATCACCGTTTAACTCCACAGGAATGCTGACTGGGTTTAATGCATTTGTTTTTGTTACCTTAGCATGCAAACGAGCCAACTTATGCCTGCCAAAATACCACCACCATCACCAACACCAACACCACAGCAACTCTCTTGGATACGGTCATTATCTTTGTTTACTAACTAGCGGATAACTGACGTAAACAGAGCTTTAGCGGCTGATTTGTTGACATAATGCGATTCATTTTTGCACATTCCTACGAGCGTAGAGCAGAAGGCAACAAAAAACCGACAAGTGCAGATCAATCACTAATCACGTACTAATTGATAATAACTGTTGGTTAGATCAACAATTTACTATTGAAAATTGTTTACTCATGTTTATCGACTGCTTCACTCTACAAGCAATTATCAGCAAACGAGGTCATAAACTACGTTGATACACAGTGGCCGAGAATTTCTAATAAACTCAGTAGAACGGGTGTCGAGTGCTCCCAGGATATGATACGGCAGACTTTATACATGATGGCGCTCGTACATCTAATCAATATCCTTGCAAACTTAGTCCAAATGCTTACTGCTTTAAACGGTTCACTTCTATCTCTACACTTTTATCTCAATGGATAAGCAAAGGAATATAATCAGTGTGGTAACCGATTAGGACTTTCCACTTAAACTGGAAATCAATCGGAATAGCTTCAAGTTGTTTTATCGATCACACTTTTACATGGGTCTTTTACGTTCTTTCTATTGATGTGCTTCAAAGGCTAACTCACAGAATACACAAATCACGGAAACCATAAGTGACCGAATTGACTGATGAGGGATTAGGTCCGGCCACAATGTTTCCTTTACAGTACCAAATTGATTGATGGAGATCAGTGTTAAGTCATGTACAACAAACAGTACCACAGGTTAGCTGTCGCCGAATTCATCCACTGACGGTGCTTAACTGATACGTGCTTCTTTTTTGTTTCTGATAGGATGGTTTCGTGCGTGACCAGCTGCAACGAGTAGCACGGTTATTCTCAATTTCCGATCCTAAAAAAAAAATCCAGTTACAGTGTAGCACCGGAAATCTATGGGCCGTTACACAACCCACCCGATTGGTCAATGTGGTCACATACTAGCGACTTTTCATGAAAATCTGTACATTCTGCCGTCTGTAAAACATCGATGGAAATGCAAAAGTCCCAGTTCGTAAGTTTATTTAAATTTTATTATACTATCGTATTTAATTCTTTCTATGCATCAAAATCGATTTTTTCCTTCTAAAGTGTCAGTCGTCGACTTAAAGGTATGAATATTCAATTCATCGCTTTTCGCACGGACGAGACTCCGTTCAGAGTGCAAATCAATCGATGGTGAACGCAACGCGAGCCAAACAGAATACTGGAAATTGTGCATTTGTGTTAGGGCCGATTCATTTTTGTTGTTTGCGATTCACAAACACTGCCATTCCGTAAACCCTGTATCCAGATCCAGACAGTTCATGGATACTACTAAGTTAAGCATTTGGCTTTCGTGAAGTTTGGAGTGTTCTGCCATCCGTAGCAAGGACAGTATTTGCAAGAGAGGACAGCAAACCAAATGGGAAAATGTGCAGCATTCGCTAAACCTATAACAAAATACGGGCACACAATGAATTCATCGGATTATTTGTAGTGATAATTTCAATATGGACTGTAGAAGAAGCCATGCCGAAGGCGACTCAAAATTATTCGATTAAGTGACCTGAAATCGTGCTTGTATGGCCGGCAGATGTGTTGCGCAGCCCCGGAGCACACACAATCATCTTTTGTCTGTTCTGTGCGCACAAAAGCCTGATGATGTGGATTTTCAACTTACATAATTGGATGACTTAAACGATACTCTGGTTGAGAGTCAGTCCTCTTGGTGCTCTCTACAACAACTACTCATCTAGAGAAACTCATCAAGGAACATTATGCGTATGCACATAGTCACGGGGAATGATGCGGTTTCAATTTACGTAGGTGAAATTTTGTATAACTTGGACCTTCGATAGATATCTTTATTCACCGTTCCCTATAGTTCACAATACGTGTCAAGAATAACAGGGCTTGAATCACCAGTCAGGTGGAGGTGTTCAGCATCCGTGTCGGAAAACCTAATCTCTAAGGTTTTCAAAACACCTGTCTGAAACCGGTTCTGTTGTGCATGAGGCTCTTGGGAACGTAAGCTGTTAACCATTATTGCACATTGCATCACACCGGTCAAATTGTTCCGCGTGAGGTTCACTTACGGACCTTCCCGTATTCACCTCAACTCAAACAACTGTGAGAAACAACATGTTGCGTAACTATACACTTTCACTGGAACCGTCGTCAATGTGATAAATGGAAATCTCGTACAGGGTTTCCAGGTATAAGCATATGTGATTGAGGATAACCGAATAAAATCTAGTTTTCTATGAGAAATATCTGACACATTTTTCCTGTGACAATATTCAGCATCTAAATCTGCCGAATCCTTGCAGGTCGAAATTGATTTCAACTAACTGAAACGTTTTTGCCGAGGCACGCGAAATCAAGTAAACGCAGTGAATGATGTGCAAAAAGCAAGCGAACTTCGATTTACGTTCATTCCGCAGATTTTCGCAAATCTGATTCGCTCATAGAAAAAAACTTCATCTGACTTTTCTATTGCCCCTTGTTTCTCACGATTCTCATTTCCGGACAAATGACCTCCATGATTGTTCTGGATGAATTGGAGTGTGAGGGGGAAATCGTTTCATCTGAGCCCATTGTTTCCACTTCCTATCTCGTTTCCCAAGTGCTTATTGGTCTATGGTTCTGTGCAAAAAAGGATCAACTTGATCTGAAGAAGGATGGGATGGGGTGTGTGGGGAATGGACAACAATACTTAATATGTTTAAACTATCGATCATCCGAGTGGATTGGCCTCTAAGCTCATTGACAGATATGCTGAATCTTGCGCCAAATCTGCCCACTAGATAATTTCTGACAATACCGACCAGACGTCCTCTCACCTGTCTCCCCTCCAAGGGAATTAATTAACTCTTTTCATGGTTATTTATGTCACAAATCTCGCAGTCCATTTTTGGCATACACAATAAACTCTAGACACGAAGGTACTTTGCTAAAATGCACTTTAGTCTTCTCGTGTAAACACGTTTGCTTCCTCCTGTTGTTTGCGTCACAAAACACATGCATCGGAATTTTTCAAATTTTTGACAGTGTTTCATTATACGGTTACACATTTAATAGAATGCAATTCGAACGATTGTGTTACGACCGAAATGTATACATGTGCTTAGAAAAATCGCACGGTACAACAGATTTAGGTATTGTACTAGGGATAATTTTGGGTGCGTACACTGGGTATTAGGTAACTGATGGAATCGGATTGATGAAGGTGAGTTGCACGGAGGTCTATGATGCTAATTCCCCAGCACTCCCTTGTTCTTCTCAGAAACTTCGGTAATATCATTGACTGTTTTGGTCCTATATTCACTGAGATTTGATAACCGAAAATTCTTTTGATCAATTAACCCTGGTTAACGGAAAAATAGAGCTGGATTGCAGCAACAAAAGAAGAAAGAATCCGCCGGTTTATGCCAATGTTCAGTTGAATCACAAAACCGTAAATAGGACCACCAATAAGAAAGTACATTATTAAACGAGTAGTGATTTCACCAAACATATTCCCTATGTTTAATTGAACAAATTAGCTTGTCTTAGCCACGACGAACGGAAAATCAAAACACAAGGCGTTGGTGACAACGTTTCGACCCTTTTGGAAGACCTTTCTCAAGTCGTTTAATCGGCTAATCTCACATTACAAGCTAATTTCCTCAATAATCATGAGCACGATGTCCAAGTTTTTCAGTGAGATTCGTTTTATCCATGAATCTCGTGTAATTCCATACGTTTAAGTTTATCAACAGTATTACGGAACTCGTCCCACTGCCATTCAGTTAGATAATTCAGAGAATTTGAAAGCTAGTCCGCATAAACCGGTGCTCCTCAAACCTTGTCGCCCATATCCATAAACAGGTAATCAATTGTCTACGTGAAATGCTGCTATTTTACGGATGGGGGCGGAAAATGTAGGACAATAAAAAAAGTAGTCAGACAAACAGTCAGACAGACGAAGATGGTCCCACTGGGTAAGGAGGTGCACATTCCAATTCACAGAACAATATCTTCATTTTTAAGGATAACAAGTACAGTAGGGCATGGCTGACTTTGGAGTCCCACATCCAGTATACATATATCTATCTGTAGTAATTGTATGCGTGCATACGTTCGGACCAGCGCGCCTACGTGCTTGCGGGCTCACCCCGCAACCGATGACCGACAGGAAAGCTGATGCGATGTGAAAATGTCTGAGGACCGGGAGACAAAATAAAACTAAGGCTGGGACAAATGTGTCCAGGCCCGACCCCACCCCCTCACACTCGCACACACACACACATTCACACACAGCCCACTCCTCATTGAACTGCACCACAGTGTTTATGTGTGCGCATGTGCGGACGCGGGTGCGGTAGGACGCACTCA